TGCTGGTTTTATAATTTTAGATGTTCTGTCTCTCTAGGATGTGTAATTCCTTTTTCGGTGTTTAAAAAGCATATTTTAAACTGTGACAGCAGACTTCATAGTTGGTAGCAGAGAGGAATTACAATCAAAGTTACATGAGAGAGCTTTTAGCTGCTGCCTCTAACGCGGGGGTGCTTTTTTCAGGTCTGGGCAGATGTCATTCCTGTTATCCAGCATTTCCTCTGCTTACTAAATCTGCCCTTCAAGTTAGTAAGTTGTCAGTAGTTAGTAGCTGAGTAAGAATACCTTTGTCTACATTAGTGATTAAGAGTTGGTAATGTTTTCCTTCGCTGGTTGAGAAAGAACAACTTAACTGTTCATACTGGGCTACTGTTACTTAATTTTCCAGTTTCTCCTGCGGAATTCATTTTCTCGCACATTCTGCTCGTAATTCCCTTTCTCAATGGAGTAGGTTGCCAAGGTCTGGCATAGCGGTACAAACTGCACCGCTTCCTTCTGGTTGATCATCCTGCTGCTCTGGTCCTGTGAGAGAGTTCATGGGCAGCTGTTCTTGAATAAGGGAGAGCTGGAGAGGCGGGAAATGATTTAAAGAGACAGACATGCCATCCTCTGAGAAAGAAAACTTCTTTCACCTTTTACTACGCTCAGCAGTGTTCCAGTACATTATACAGGACCAGGAACATAAAGTCCATCTTGTCAGTGGGTGTAGTTGGAAAGTTGGAGGTCTTCATGTAACCTTCAACAAGTAATTTCTGTGTGCCTCTTCTTTACCTAGCTTGTCTTTTCATAATGTAAAGTTCTCCTAGCAAGGTTTCTTCTTAGCAAACATCCACACTTCTGGTGGGACTTCCATAATGTATTTAACGACTCATTTGGACATCTCCGCACAGCAGACGGTGCAGCATATTGACACCCAGGAATGGACCGATAAGGGAGAAGCGATGAGGCAGGACTCCCTGCCGTCTTAAGTTCTACAAAACAGCTACAGTCCTGCAAGTTTCCCTCTTTCCCTCTGTCTTTCCCTCTGCCTCCTTTGTCACTCTTGGCAGACCTACCTCTGGCTGTGAGCCTGTCTTCATCTGTCACGTACTTACCTTTCTTCCATCTACATCTGTTTCAGTTTAATGTGGGAAGCATAGAGAAATAATTTAGCCTTGCCCTCCTCAGATAATTGTGCAAATGTTAACAGTTCGTTTGTTAGAGCCTCTATCTTTCAGAAACATTGCTCTCTTGCTCCCAAGCTTTCCAATTATTTTTTTAATTATTTTTTAGGGAAAGTAAAAAGGTTTAAAGAGTAGGGAATTAAGAAGTAGCTAGAATAGAAGAAGGTTCTTAGAAGTTCTACTCAGAACAACTATTACAGGACTGGACAAAAAGAACAACGTGAAATTATAGTGGCTGTACTTACTTTTGTCTGTTACAGAAACAAGCTTGTACAGCGAAATTAATCTGGTTTAAGGGTACTGCTGATGAAGGCCAGTTCTCTGACATTTCATTAGAAGGAAATATGCCTTTATGCTAGAAAGGGTTTCACTGCAAATATGACCTTTTAGACTTCTGATCAGATGGCTGATTTGCAAAAGTACTTCTTAGGAGAAGATAGTCCTAGCAGGTGCCACTTTGAAAGGGACTTTGGAGTTAGAAGTGTGTGTCTGTAGGGGTACTTTGTTACTCGGATTTATAATCCTTATACTCAAGTTTATCGAATGACCTAGTGGCTCTGTATTTTATACGTAGCATCCTCCCTAACTATTTGCAACATTGAGATAATCACACGCTTATGATTTGAGAAATCCTACAGACATTTCTAATGATCTTTCACTGCTGTTCCTTCAGTTGATGCTGAAATTCTCCTTTTTCTTCCAATGTTTTTTGCTCTGCTTCCTCAGATATGTGTTCCACACCCAGGTCAAATAAGGTAAAGCCAACTGAAGCTGCTCTGCTCTTACTGCTGATCTGTACCCATTCATGGTGCTATATTGTGATGTGCTATGTTGAGAAGCTCTTCTGTTTAGATACATACCAATGTCTGCATTATCTCTGAAGTGTTTTCGTGTGTAGAGGAAACAGGAAGTTGTTAGCCCAGAATAGTTTATCTATTCTGTGTAAGCTTAAGTTAAACTATTTTTTTATCTTTTATTCTGTAATAGTGAGATAACATGCAGGTTCCTGTAAAAATCCAGCATTTATGCATGTAATTGTGATGGTATGTCAAATGAAAAACCTTTTATTGTAAAATACACTTTCTACTACATGTCACTGGTGGGTCCTTTAAATCTTTTGGTGCGATTTCTTTGCTCTGGGCTTGATAGACACTGCCAGAAGCCATCCAGGCTTGTTTGTTTCAGTATTTATAGTCTCAATCAATTGTACCTACAGGGCTGGATATGTGGACTGGTATGCTGCTTGTTTCTACATGTGATCTCAGATTTAACTGTTCTCAATCACCGCTCCCGTTTCCCAGGTCTTGCACTGTTTTGCAGGGCCATTTCATATTCAACAGAATTCAGCCAAAGTCCAGTGTGAGCTGGCAGATCTACGATCTCTAGCCCAGAGGGAAGCATTTCTGTTCCTAGTGACAGCATTGCTAGGAAGTTACGGAAGTCTGAAAAATCTTAACGGTCGCATTGCTTTTAAGGACAGAGCTGGTGCCTTCGGTTGACATACTGAGGAGACTGAAATTAGTTGGTGGTCTCAGTGCTGAGCTCTAGTGGAAAGGAACAAGTGTCAGCGTTGCAAAAGCACCTCCACAACTGCCGTTCCTGGCAGCAGGAGAAGTGACACTGTGGACAGCATAGACACTTGTTCCTTTTGGCTCTGGCAGAGGTGAGGTCTGAGGAGGCAGAGAGTGATGACGGTATTTGTGATATGGCTATTATGGAGCTATTTCCATTTTGGGGCTAACAAAAATGGCACCTTTATGGTCACAAAAAAAGGGGGACTTGCTCTGAAGTTCTGTTTTTCCTTCTCCCCGCCTTCCCTAAATGTTTGTATTTTTTCCAGAAATGCTGCTTTTGTTCCTGCAGTCTCACAGCTGAATAAGGAAAAGTGACCTTTTATTGGTGTTTTCCCACCTTGAGGCAGCACAACTGATGTATTTCAGTTCCAGTTCATGTTTTATGTTCCCTGATGTCCTTGTTGGATCACCATGTTGTGAAAAACTGTATACATTATATATGTATAACATATATGTGTGTGTGTGTGTATATATATATATATATGTGGTTTGTTCTGTTTCTTCCATTTCACTTAAGAAGTAACTGAAGGTATAGTCAGAATTTCACAGCAAGGGTGGGGAAGTTCAGTTTCTGCCCCCAGGAGTATACAAAATGTTAATAGACTGGGGAGCAACAGAGAAAGGATTATAGAAATGAAGACAGTTCTTAATAGAATAGTTCTTAATAATTTCCAAAGGCCCAGATTTTCTGAGCAGCTTTTAGCCCAGAATGTTTTAGCTTGACGTTGATGACAGTTCATATAAAAGTCTCTCCTGCAGCTATCCTGGGAGAAGTGAAAAGAGAGCAAAATGGATTGGAGTAGTCTGGTGAAGATGTTTCAAGCTAATGGGCACAAATCAACTGTGCTAATACATTGGATAAAGGCTAACATAACAAGAATGTAGGGATGGTATAAGCCAGTTCTCAGCTTTCCCTTTTAGCTGTGTAAAATGACCTACTCGTTTTGGTTCTTGGCTAATGAAGATATTAGAAGGTTCCATTTTGTTTTGCATTCCTGTGAATTCTGACCCATTCTAGGTATTTTATTTCCATTTCTACAATTGGCCAGTCCTTTCCTATAACCTGGAATAGTCATTCAGGCACACAAAAACAGAGCCAGGTGAATGTGGAATGCCAGATGAGTAGCAATTTTAAGTATCTGCTGAGAGGCAGGGAAATAGTGCTTCAACAGCAG